AATCATGTGACTTGGAAAAAGAAAAGTAAAAGTACAAAAGTAAAGTGTAAGTAGGTGCTGGTATGTCAATTGTAACAGATTTTGGGCATTTACACTAAGTACTCACATTCTTTTACTTAGTGCTATATAGGATCCTTTAATCCATCATGCACGCCATTTTAGGAGGGCAATATGCAGAGCCTTCTTGAAAGTGCCATCAAAAGAATGGCATCAGATGAACCTGACAAGAACAACTGCAGAGTAAGTCAAATTTATCAAACTCAGTGTTTTGGATAAACTTGCTTCCACTTTATAGAGAGAGGGCTGAACAATGTATATTCAAAGAATTATTGAAGCTTGTCCCAAGCTTGGAGAGGCACCTTATGGATCAAGAAACTACAGAAGAAGAAATCAATATGGACGCAGATATGGTATGCTTTGTCTCATCTAAAACAACAACACCCCTACCATATTTCTACACAGATCCAGAAAGGCACGAACAGGGCCAGATCTGATGGTACCAAGGGTCTCAAATATGCTGTAATTGACTGGATTACTCCCAGAGGACAGACCCTGTCATCTCATATACATTGCAATATTAAAACAAATTGAGGCTTCAATCATCAACACACTGGCTTTTTTCTTTATCCCGCTGGATTGGTTTGTTCCAACAAAAGGTAAGTAGCTGAGCTATCGTCATGAAGTTCCTAGCATTAAGATCAAATTAATGACTGGGCAGATCCAAGTTTTGGGCAATCAGTGGCCTATTATGCTTTACATGAATTATTCCTATGCTACAGAAGACCCTTAGAATGGTTTGCTTAGAAGTGGTCTTCTTGTTAACATGAGTCAATACGGAAAATTTACTACAGTCTAATAATTTTGATAAAACCACACAGGCCTTCAAACATATTTTCACATCCCCAAGTTCCGTGGATCAAGAACCAAAAGTTACACATTCTGGGAATGTGCGTATACAGAGCATGTGTTTGGTTAGCAAGGCTTCAATTGCTTACATTATAACTCAAGTAGGTAGCCCTCTGATATCTCAAAGGTTGTGCTCACTAGAAAAACACACAGGTTTAGTTTGCACTAAGTTCAATACAAGTTTTCTCCCGCACTGATCTAGTCACTGACTCTGAGTGGTTCTATAATACTATCCTTGCCTTGCTTGAAGATCCCAATGAGAAGGAGGAAGTTGATCAGTTATTGGTATGGTGGAACATGTGCATATGTTTATTTTATGAGTGCTGCTGCTCGAGTGACTGAAACTATTATTTAGACAAGTTTTCCCACTCTACGCAACTCCTAAACATTTACCATCCAAGAACAGTGTGTTGGCAAGGATTAGAGAAAGAAGGGACGTTCTGACATCAGGAAAAATGAGGGTAGCTATATAGAACTCTATAGCACTATAAGTACTCATAAAGCTGTTATAGTGGTCAAACCTGTTATAGAACCTCTGCCATCTATATGGCCTCATATAGCTCTATAAATGCTCTTATAGATGTTGGAAATTGTTGTGTGGCTGATTGAAAAAAATTCACACACCAACAGGATTTGAACTCTCAACCTGCTAGTCAGCTCTTGGGTGACTAAGCATCCTATAGCCACACATCACATTTATCCACTACACCATGAGGGCTTATAAAATATATTATACAGGTGTTATATATTGACCTTTTATGGACTGAGATTAATTTTTTACTCATTATCACTACTTATCTTTGGATAAATCATTATTCTTATTTTGTAAGTATCAGGGATACAAACTATTATTTCACTAATACAGACTACATAATTAATTAATACTGTATGATTTATTGGCCCTTTTAAGCACCTTGAACTATATTATAACTATGACCTTTACAGCTATAGGAGCTATTTAGGCTGCTATAGGCTATAAGAGCACTTATAGTATCTTGTCTATAATAATATACTTGACTCCAAACACTTTTGGCCTCTTTCTATTATTGAACAAGTTTATTAGATTAATCCAGAGTTTGAGGGAATTATAGATACTTTTCCCCTTGGTTAAAATTTTGCCTACTACTGTGCTATAAGAGCTATAAGAGCTATGATTGCACTGATAGTACTATAGTTTCTATAAATGTGTTTATATATATAGGTGGTGGCTATATAGCAAAAGGGTTTTTCCTGATGGAAGAGGTCCCAGAATGGAGAGGGATCTCATACTATCTGACTGATTTTTGTGTCCTGTCTGCTTGTATGATTTGTATTTGACAATGTTATTGTTTGTGTTGTGATATTTCAAATCATATATCTCTATTAAGATTACTATTGAAGGTGTAAATATTTTGGGTTACACAGATTACACGGCTACATCTTAACTCCATCCACACCAGCCTCCCACATCCCTGTTGCTGTTGTGGCTCTTCTGCTTGCTTGAATCCATACAAACATTGAGTCTAAGATATCAACCTCATTTGTTGCATCACAATGGCATGCTTTTTGAGGTAAACACCTACTTTTGCCATTATCTTTAAAATGCTGGAGTCCCCAAGTCCAAATTCAGGTTTTCTGGCCTAAGGCATGAATATGACACAAACATAGATTTTGTGTTGGAAGTGATTAAGCCGCATACAACAGATATCAGCCATGTCAGAGATGTGGCTGGGAAACACTTACCTATCTAGGATTTTACACATTTTAGTTAATTAAATCTTTTTGTGCTATAATATTTTGACACCTCAGTCCTGGTACAACAGACAAAGGTGAGTTTACTTACATTCTAATATATTTACACCATGCAGTACTTTACAGACTACATAATTTCTACAGGTTATAAGACCTGGTCTTCCCAAAGTGTCACTAGTTGGAGGAGGTATCATTACAACCAGTGTACCAAAGCTGACAGGCACAATTAAGCCCCCAAAAGCTATCCCAAGGGATAGAGCTTTTATAAAATCTAATAATTTCCTTGTTGAAGATGATGGCAAAAGTAGGTGTTTACCTCAAAAAGCATACCATTGTGATGCAACAAATGAGGTTGATATCTTGGACTCAATATTTGTATGGATTCAAGCAAGCAGAAGAGCCACAACAGCAACAGGAATGTGGGAGAAATTGTGTTGGTACCACTAACTGAAAAGTGTAGTTGTCTAAGTACACCTCCGCTGCAACAATGAGAGTGATGTCAGATCACATCTCAGTGAAATGCTTGAACTTTGAGCTGAACTCAGAAGTATTGGAGCTTCTGTAGAGGACAGAGACTTTTGATAATAATTCTCTCAGCATTACCAGAATCCTATTGGCCAGTCCTGACATCCATGATCATAGCTGCTAGAATATCTCAAAACACTGTCTCATCAATGACATACTGTATGTGCTATAAAAAGTGTCTAGTACAAGAAAGACTTAGTCTATTATTCTAAAGACTCTATAAGCAATTAGGTACCCAATAAAAGAAAGACTAAAAGGTATAATAAGTACACTGTTTTAATTATAGAGTGAGTCAATGACATACCTTAGTTTATTATTCTGAAAACTGAGGTTGTTGAAAAATAAGTGTCCAGCTTTTTTGTATGAAGGTCACAAAGTCCAATGCTTATATAATCAGTGAAAAAATGGAAAAAACAACTGTAAAAAAGAGTAAAAGTGAATACTATAAAAATCATAGCTAGAAATATAGTGATTTATTATATAGTATAGGTAATAAGTGTAACAACCAAGAGTTAGTTACTCTGGCGCACACAGGAACACACTATAAAGGTAGTGATGAGGGAGTGGTTACCCCTTAGGCTGCAGAGAGTTTGTTGGTATACAACAGGAGGACTCGCTGAGGAGTCTCCTTGATCTATTGGGGTTTTTATACTAATACAGAGTGTTTGTACCTATGTACTGTACAGTTGATAAAAGCACTAGCTGATAATGTCAGAGGGTGCAGCCCATGTGACCAGCTCCACTGCGTGAGAGAGTTTGTGGCTAAAAGAAGAATAATGGCAGCGCTGCGTGAGAAGGTGGAGTTAGAACGAAAAAGGAAAGTGCCGCATGGCACAGAGTGTGAACTATAGTAAAAAGGTTAAAGCGGAGAATGAAAATTAAAGGAAAGGTCCGAAAATTGTGTTATCATAACAATAAGTGCTTACCATGTCAACATCTTCCTTATCCTGCATAGTAAACTTTATTGGTTTCCCCCCTCTTTGTGGTTTCCCCCAGTGGCTTGATGATGAGGTGAGGAAAGACAACTACCCCATCATTTCACTAGATAGAGGCTGGAGGAAACATTCCACTATTGGAGTCTGAGTTAGTGAGATAGCATAAGCATCATGCTGTGATTGCTGTTGGAGAAATAAGGGAGATTCAAGCCTCGTACAGCGTAGTACGAAGGCAAGAAGTGGTGCAGGCGCAAAATTGGGAAAGCACAGTAGTTGAGGTGGCCCGTGCACCTAATATACTGCATCAGAAGATTTTTGGTTCCATCTTCACTTATATACGCTGTCATTGTCAGGCAGACACCTCAGGCCTTCTCTTGAAGTCTGAGGTGAGACACTTTTATGTTAGAGCTTATAAGTACTTAGCTTACACCCCTTTTCAGTTTATTCCTTGCTAGGTACATTCTTTTGAATATAAGAGACCTTCTCTCGAAGTCTGAGTTTATTCCTTGCTAGATAATTAACAATTGCACAAGGTGCATGATAGAACAACATAAAGGTCGAGGCATAGAGCATCCAGGCCATGTGTCTATGAGAGATTCGGCCAATTAGACTTGTATAAAAAAGATTAAACTCGACTAAAGTTTCCTTATCTGTGAAGTGCCAGGTGATGAAGCGATGTTCGCTCGTGACTATGAGTCACGTCCGTTACAGTTGAAGACCGAAAATGGAAGTCACTATACGTACACAGTCGTCACGCAGGCGTCTAAACTTGACTAAACCCTGCTTGGAATATTATAATAAGAATAAATCAAGGACGGTGGGTAACTGGTTTCCAAACGTTCTCCACGTACTAATTTATTTCCAGTAAAGTCCCAGTGGCGATACCAAAGTACTCATATCAATATGGCTTTTAGCGACGGGGAGAAAACAAGTAGAAAAGTTAGGAAAGCACCAGAGTTGATGATAACATCGCAGAGGAATACAGGAAGAATCGCTACAGTCGTAAACAATGTCACTGATGAGGTTTTCCCGTTCAGTTCAGAAACAGTATCTCATCCAACTCCATCCACGGGCGTCCCAAGTGCTCGTGGTATGCTCCATCCACCGTCACTTTCCCTAGTTTCAAAGGCCGGTATGACGCTAAATGTATCACCTCAAACGAAGAGATTCAGTGCAATGAATATCAATAAAAAATTTTTGGAGAAGAACTCTGCTTCGTCAAGCTCTGGTCAGACGATTTCAAATTCGATCGCTGTCAAGCCTGGTTCGCTTGGGTGTGAGTTGGACTTAATTGCATATTCGTGTTATGTCTTTCTCACTGACTTTCCCCAACAGCTCGTTTGGTTGGTCAGCCCGCGATTTCTCACTCGCGCCTGGTGACAGCTAAGCTCACCAGCGCCAGATCACCCCAAACCTCTGCAACAGCCGGTGTGGGCTGGCCGAAATCGTCTTCTGTTGCTTCTCCTTCTGTATCTCCGATGTCAACGACAAATACCCCTGTTCACACCGTACCTGTTTTTCCGAGTGTTCAACAGCTTCCTTATATCCGAAACATCCCACAACCCTCTCCAGCTGCTTTATCCATGACTGCGGGTGGTAAAGGAAGATCCTCTCGGGTTGCTTGGAGCAATGCTCAAAACTCTCCTAACGTCTCTGGGGTCGGTGGCACAACGCAAATCGATTTTCCGACAGCTTCTGAAGTGGCACAAGGTGCTCTTATTATACCTTGTAACCCCGTCTTGTCAGTCCTTACTCAATTAATGTAGGAATACCGCTTCCCCTCAACTCAAACATATCACACGAAAAGGATGGGGAATCTGCTTCCCACAAGAAGCAGAGATTACAAGAGGCAGACACTTTCCGGGGATTGCATTTAAACCCGAACGCACATCATTGGGATGAGGTTCGTCACAATTCCTTGGGACTAAAAGGACTACATTGAATAAGTCGCTACCTAGATGGAAGAGGACGATGACAATTTTTTGGATGGGGTCATAGAATTTGGCGATGGTCGCCAGTATAGAATAGCTTCGACGAGCATCCCATCCCGCTCTCCATCCCCACCATCAATTGAAGCACGTCCCTCACTGGGATCACCTCACCACGAAGCAATTGATGGAGTACCATCGTTAGACGTCTTATCAAGTAAAGGACAGAGACTTGGCCATGATTTCGACCGCAGTTGGCCACAGCAGAGTGTATCGCCTATACTTAATTCTCAGCGCACTGGCCCTCCACCATCTATGTCTTGTGTACCTCACCATTCGAGCCATTCTCCTCGCTCTCATACGAGGGCACTCTTTAATGAGCGGTCTAATAGACTGGAGCCATGCAGCCCTGTGCTTTCTCTATTTCGGTATGCTCAAGAAGAGCCTCAACTGAATTTGAAGCAGAACTCTATTTCATCTTCCCTTTATACTCGAGACAGTCCGGAACAACCTCCAGTTTCGCCCACTCATCATATCCGGTTACTTCAGAAATCAAGTCCGAGTAGCAGCATCGATGATATATCTCCCGGCTCATTTTGTGGGGGTGTTTCAACTGGCTTGGATATGTCTAATCAGAACACAAAGCAAGCTCAGGATGTCTCAGTGCCAGCATCCAACGGCAACACTGTTTGTCACCCCTCCGTGCTGGTGAAAGATCATGCTTCTCGATGTAAAGAAAAGTTTTTCTCTGGTAGCGACGGACAAAGCACAGGTATGTGCAATGCTGGGGATGCGCTAGTGCCTGAATCCTTTCAGGAGGAGATAGGCAAACATCAAGTCCATCGCGTTACATCATATATGCAGCAGCAGCCCTCTTTGCAGCCTTCATCAACACCTTCAGCCTCACTGCCATCTCGTTGCGCGAACGAGAATGTTCCCACGCGCTTAGCTACTTTTCCGCAACGTCCCTCAGTGGCACTGTCGTCCAGCGAGGACATTGAAGTTGTACACAAGGCAACGATGCATTTATCTGCAGAACGTGCAAGGGAACGCTGGCAAAAGGATGAGGAAGAGAGAGAACTGAATAAAGAGCGCGCTAGGTTAAAAGCAGCAGACATAGAGGAGAAGATGAAGGTTCGAGAAAAACAGGTAAAGGTTGGAATGAAGGGACATATTGCTAGTCGGGTATGCATTAGGCCAACCTTAACAGCTCTTTCAGGCTAATTCGAGTTCCACCAGGTTGAAGCCCCACACAGGACAGATGATGCCAAAGTAGTCGAGTCATTAGAGCTAGCGATCTCTGAAACGGCAAGATCAATGACTTTGGTCTCTCCTGGTTCTAACCTGCGAGCTTCCGAAGATCCAATTATACTACCTCCTCTCCGAGCCACGTTGACATCCTCTGTTGAAATATCAAGTGCGCCCCCTACACATCCAGGCCTACATGATTTAAACGCAGCACAACTGAAATCGTGGAGAAACAGAAGGACTATTCCATCAGCAGAATCTTGGGCTGCTACTAAATTACTACCCAATGTACCACCAGTCCTTCATGGCGATGACCCTCTTCCAGATGTTCCAGACGAAAAGCTTGAAATAATTGAATTCTCCGATATTGGAAAGTTCGTCGAAGTGTTGGAACCTTCATCAGGCTCGAAACACGATGCTTTCAGAGAAACCGGGGCTGTGATATCGCTGTCCTCTATTTCAAGCAACCACGCTATAAGCACGTGGCCCTCTTGCGATGTTTGTCAAAAGATTAATTCTCAATATCGGGGTCGCAAATTTATTGACCCGGACCATTTATCTGTATGTGTTCCATGTCAACTGAAAAGCTACGAAGATCCTGGTCAGAGTCAGCTATTACAGATCAGGAACGAGCTTAAGGCCCCAGCGAGCCTACATCATATAAACACCTCATATGCAACTGTGGCAGAAGACACCAAGAAGATAGGCAGTAATCTTCTCGAGATAAGTCAAGTAATCGCCGAGTCGCCTGCATCGACTCAGACGAAGAAAATATGGGATACAACGTGCTACCGCGAAGCTTCCATGTCAGCGCTGGATCACGCGATGTCCCGAATAAAAGGAGCCTTGGATGGAATGCAGACGGGTGGACTAGACAGAGGTGTTGAAGGTTCTTCTCCAAAAACTGCTTCTTCTGTGTTGGAGCCAAAGTCTGAGCAGACTACGAAACAAACACCTGCGAGGCCTAAAAATCCAACGTTCGAATTATCTCAATTTCATGATATACCTAATGTGACCAGTCATGAAATAGTGTCTGAGCCACCTTCATCTCTAATCAATCTCGTTATTCACCTTCCTTCCATTTCTCGTCCATTGAACTTCCTGCCAAAGAGGCAGCTTCAATTGTTTGGAAGTGCTCCTAATAGAGTACGTTGGGAAATACTTTCGCGGGACTCACCTGGGGAGTGTGTGGAAAGGGAGGTTTTGTTTTGTGATAGCTTTCTGTTTCCAAAAGTGCAAAGTGGACAATATCGGGTGTCTTTACCTGCCACCCGTGCCAGGTTATTGACGTCGCAGTTTTTCTGTCCTTCCGACCCCAAAGTCAACCTCCCATCAAGTGTATCACGCCCCGCTGGTGCATACTCTCTCAGGACATTATCTAGTTCCAGCAATATTCAAATACACTCACTTTCTGCGACTGACATGGCACAGTTGTCCTCCATTGATGTCACGAGCTGCTCACCGCCCCCAGATTATTCGCCTCAGCATGAGCCTACCTCCTCAAACTGTGATATTCGTTCTCATAAAAGACAGCGGAAGATGCCTGTAGGGTCATCTGTTGGGTTTTACCGTGATCCGACTATTAACAGTGGCACCGACTCTGGGCTTCATGTTGAATTTACTGTTGTCAGCGAGCTGGAGCCGCAATTACCAACAGTCACCACGGAAACTTCAGTCACATCAACAACTCCAAGTGCTGGGTCGTTTCTGTCCGTTAGTTCTACTCTTGATATCGATACAACGGGATCTCCGGCACTTCTAGGCCATATGATCGTGGGTACAGGATGTACGTCTCCTAACGCACAAATGTCTACTAAGATCGAACCCAGGGAACCCAATCTCTATGTGAGTCTCCTTTTTGGATAGGTACATTTGATCTTATTGAATTAATTGAATTAAATAGTTAAAGCGCCCTACTATCGCGAATCGCTCCCAGCCTCTGGACAACTCTTGGGGGAAGTCCCCTCTGAGCCTAGCAACAATAGAAACTGTTGGAAGACTGCCTGATCCAGAACATTTAAAGGCAGTTTGGTCTCAGCGCTCTGACAATGTCCAACGATCCATCGGAAATTCTTTGGAAGGCATTGGGGATGATCTGACAGCATTGCCATTCACATTACAGGACGTCAGGTCTGAAGATGATGGCACTCCGCCTCCATCAGGTTCCTTGATTCCGTCAAAGGTGTCACTTTACAATGTCACACGTGCATTTCAACAAAGACCGCCCCCATCCGATGTTATTGATCCGCGCAGTACTGAAATACCTCTTTCCCCCATAAATAAAGCACCCGTTCGGCCATCTGCTGCAATGTCTTACCCTCATCCTCTACCTTTAAGTCCCAATGTGCATCCTTCGGGCGTAACATACTATCCGCCCCTTGTGGCCCACGCACCAAGTATGGCGTATGCTCCAACGGCTAGTCCTCCTAGGATGCCTATAAATGGGCTCTCGCCGTTCAATCAGCCAGTATGGATGCCATTGCCTACACCACCATCCCAACACCATCATCATGGCTTAGTGAGGCCTGTTCCGTCACCATATTCTGCACACCTCATAACGTATTCCTCTTCGACGGGAAACACTTTCTATACTGTTTCACCATCTATCCAAGCTGCGCAGAGCAACCTGCATCTCAACAGAGGTGAAGAAGGTCGCTCGAGACACATCCCTCTGCTGAGCGCGTCTCAATCAGCACCACTCCGTTCCAATATCTTACCGTACCCTGGGAGTCCACCTACAACCCATCTGGCCTCAAGGATACCCAGTCAACACTGTACGGTGCATGTTCCACTTGATTGCCAAAATGTCTTTGTTCCCCCACTCGCCGTGCAAAGAAACCACATTGAGTATCAGATCTCGCAACCTCTTGGATAAAATCCATTATTTCTGGCCTGATGGATCTCAATCCATCTTCTCGTCGTCCTTGGACCTTACACCCATGGTAACTCAGGTTTTCTTTTCTGCTCTTCGCGGCAGCAATTTCTATTTTGGCCGCTGTTGCGGTCTCTGTTACCCATCGACATGAGTTGTGTCGTCTTATACATAAAAGTTTTTGGTTTAGTCGTTTCCGTCCTGAATGTGATACAACTTTCCTTCTCAACTGCAATGATCAATGTTACGCAGATCTTTCTGCCGCATCATTGGAAACGGGTGGAGAAGACAGTATAGAAACCACCTGAGATTTATCTATACTAGAGCCCTCAATACGTATAATCAGAGGCACTACTTGCTTCAATACAATTTACTTTCACCTCAGTAAATGTGTGGCTATCTTCCCTTGGAGATAACGATACCTTAGTGGTTGGCCATAGAAACCTGCATATTTGCACACAGCCGGTTTCACAGCAAATCATAATAGTGCCTGGCGCCAATATTAGTGCAAGGATTTGTGTACACGTAGAGCAACGAGAAGTGTGGAAAGTCACGAGAATGATCTCAGCAGTGACAGAATTGCTATCAATTGACATCAGCAAAAGCGCACAAACCCGACCAGGCCAAACTTGGCATTACTATCTCCTGCTATCACCGCCACCTGCATCGTGTCATCAGAGTGCCGACCATGCACTATCTATGAAGCCTCAAATTCGTTTCGGTTGCAGCAAACCATCACCAAAGCCGTGGTCGACTGACTCCATCATGAAGATAAGTACAAGTATATTATTACTTGGACTTGTCTTCATGATGGGACCATATCACCAATTCTACCGGAAGCTTCCATCAGTCTGCATGATAGATAATTACAACTGACTGTTATTTACTGTCATGGTAGGTCATTCGGACCATAGTGTCAATTAATAACAACAATATATTAGCATTCACAGCACACAGTACATCAAAGGCAGCATGAAAAGCAGGCGAGACAGTAAAGATAACTGGAAAAAGTGGGACCTTCAAAAATTAAGACTGTTTTCGACGCTGCCTCTTGCCCTTCAAATTTGTTGCCTGCGTTTTAGTGACCTCTTTGCCCTTTCTTTTTTGCTTTTTCAGTGCAGATGCTTCGTCGTCACTCAGGCTAGACAAGTCACTGGGGTCCGAGTCGACTTGCTTGATCATGACTGTGTGTTTGATGAACTTGCGAGCAGCTGGCTTCAAGCTAGAAGGGCCTGGTCCGTTTTCACATATAGTAGACAGCTCCTCTGCAGTTCTCTTTCTAGGGATGACCTTGGAGAGCCTGCATTCATATTCGTCCATGCAGGCTGGTTCTTCTAAGTTGTCAGAGGGACCTCAGGCAGGTGAGCTGGGTAGTGGTGTGAGAGCTGAACCAACTAGGTCTAGGGGTATTCCTCGACTCGCCAGCAGGATATATGGTGTTGAACTGGAGGTAAGTGACCTGAATTTTGATGATGGCGTAGCTTCGAGCTCTCCAGCAGGCTGTGCAGGATTGGCAACCATGGCTATGTCAGAGTTGGCTGTCCTTCGGGCAGCCCTTTGGGTCATGAATTGAGCAATGTCATCGTCACTTTCTGACTGGTTGTCGTTGATTCCAGTGTTTGAGTAACCGAAAACATTCCTAGGTAGAACTCAATAGGACATCAATAAATCAGGTAAAACAGGATAGAGCATTACAGATCAAAGAATGTCAATACATCCTTAGCCCATGGATCAGTCGGGTCCTCTAACAATGTATTAATTCGGTCATAGAAGTCCTTGTAGTTAAAATGCTCGTCTATGCCATCAGAAGGTCATGATTCTTGACTTGTTAATGCATGCCGACCCTGTGCTAGTGATTTGTTAGTATATAGCATGCAGCGTTGATTATTTACTTGTATGATTGCATAAGAGATTGTCCTGGGTGTCGCACATGACAAGCCATGTATTTTTGCATTATGGGCTCGTGTGCTTCTACTTGTCTTGGAGGTTTGATCCTTGAGTGCCGTCCCAGGCCCTGTAAAGATATGCCTATAAACCTATACAAAGATGTTAGTCAGAATGTGGGAAAATCAATATGAACACTATACTTACTCGCAGAACATAATAGCCTTTAAGCAACCCTTCATGAATAGCATTTGGGTTGTACTGTTCAGCGGGTTCAAACCCTATATACATGAATGCGGGGAGCTTGCTGGCTGTAACTCTGATGTGTCCATCAAGCAGTTTGATGCGTGTTCTAAAAAATACCGTGAAAAATAGAGCCAAATCAAGCGTGAAATACTTACTCATCTTGGTTGCCATAATATTCCTTTGCATGCTTTGCAGGACAACAAAGCAACAACGCAAGCTGTGGGTGGGCAAATCTAAGCCCACTATGATCTTCTTTGCTTCCAGTCAGAATTAGCGGGTTGAGACTTATAGTGGATGGGTCTGGTGGCACATATTTTGGTATATCTTTTCTGAGGTGGCTGCTGTCATCTGCACGTGTACTCCACCCTTGGCAGCACTTTCAAGAGGCTCCCATGTCTTACAGATGGGGTTTCTATGTTAGCAATAACCCATCTGAAAGACCACCCTCTCTGAAGAGGGTCCCCCTAAAATCCCAATATATTTTTTGTCCTCAAATTGTTGTTTCAAGGATTTACATAAATACATGTGGAGAGTATCTCCATATTATTATGATCATTGCTATAATACACCAAAATGTTACCATGGTCTTTGAGAGCCTCTGTGGGAGCCTCCCCATCAATACATCAAAGGAATGTTCCAGAAGAATGTCCCAAATATGGATATAAATCATCCCTTTATGGTAAACTTCTGTGCTATCATAACCTCACTGTGAGCCTCTCCATCACTACATCAAAGAAGAGTCTCCCAAATAAGGATATATACTGTCCCTTTATGGTAAGTTTCCGCACTACCACCCAAAACATATCTGCTTTTGGATATGCTGATATAACCCCTATTTTAAAACAAATCTATTTACTGCCCTACTTAATATTTCTCAGGCTAATTTATGTAAAGCATGTGGAGCCAACATACTAACTACTATTCTCAGTGAATATAGGATCAATTCACATTGGGAATAGATTGTAAAATCCAATGTTATGTTTTTTTGACATATAAACATATGTTTGTTTTCCAATTTCTGGGGGAGAATTAGCTCATGGAGGCTTGCTGTAGTGATGGGAATTGTTCCCAAGCATAAACAGGCTTGACTGAACACCATGATTGGCAGGATATATTGATCTTACAGTATGTTTGCAATTATGCATAAATTGACATCTGGCCTAGAATTAGACATACAGATGCTCTGGGAGCCTTTGAAAGATATGCAGGCCTTCCCAGACAACACATAAGTGTGTCTGAACAATTATAACACCATAATTATGGGTAGGTATACCCTTATCATGTATTCTGGAACATATGAGGATATCACTGCAAAAATAACATAAAAAGTGAAATAATGCATGATATATAACACAATAAGACCTCCTGCCTATATATGGTGGTGCTCTAACCAACTGAGCTACCAGCCCTTGGATGTCAACACTCAATTGCACAATGTTGTCTAACAAGGCCCAGGCTTTGACCTTGACAATTCCAACAAATACCAAGCACTCACGAGATGAAGATGAAGAGAGGGAAATGCTAAGAAAAGAAAGGAAGAGGTTGAAGCGAGCTGAAGAATTTGAAAAGATCATTTCAGATAGTCTAGTACTCGATCACCATGCTGTCCAAGAGGTATGTTATTAATTGTGTTTTCTTGTGTCACTACCTTTCTCACTAATTGTATGTTATCTAGCAAAGTGATATTCAAGTTCAAGGGCAGCCTGATAGCTCACAACCTGAAGAATGTTTGCAGCTCCAGACTATACACACAACTTGTTCAGGCAGACCAGTTCGCTTACCAAGACAATATGTTGATTTTTTACCACCAACCGTCACTCAAAGAAGACAAGACACTCAAACCAACTATATGCACCCCTCTCCTCACACATCTGAACACCAAATTCCACATTCCCAAAGTCCCCAAGGTCTTAAATCTAGTGAGGACATGGATGAAATTCCCTCAGAGAATATTGAGATGAAACCAGATTCATTGAGTCTGTATCGTATATACTTGGGTCAGCCATCCTCAACCCCAGAAAGTGGCATGTCACTGGACGCTATATGTGATGCTCCAAACCTCAAAGCAGACATGACAGAATAAGCTGTGCTGCCTCAGCAAAGGGTCTTTGGTCTGTTGCCATCAGAAATTCCACCAGAGCACCTTTTCTTGCCATTCACAAATCCTAGCTGTGGCATTCTCATGGCATGGCGATACACAGGGACATCAACAAAGTTAGCAGCAGAGCTTACACAACTAGCAGCCTGTCTTTGTGATCCTCTATTTGATCCTAGTGACCTTGATGGTTTCAACCCCACTCATGAACATAAACTCCTTGACAAATATCTGTAGGACCGAGAAAATCCCTTTCATGAAGAAAATGGCTGGCAAGAATCAGTGGTCAAAATTCACTTGCCAAAAGAAAAGAAAAAATGGGCTCAAGACGACTCCTTGGTGTAACATACAAGGGTGATGAGATTTTCTATACTGACAAGCAACATGACACCGTAAAAATCCTCAAGAACAAACTCTACTGGCACCAAGTGCTACATTTGAATTATACCACTTATGATCTACGGCGTGAACAAGATTCAATTAATCCTCGGACACACCCTGACATTATGGTTCTTGCCCATGAAGACCCAGATGAGACCAAGGAACCCCACCCATACTGGTACGCTAGGGTCATCAAAAATTTCCACATAAATGTCAAACATCACAGTGGTCAGTCCAAACTCTCGAAGCCGCAGCGAATGGATGTACTTTTGGTACGTTGGTTTGCATGCAACACAAGTACACCCACTGGGTGGGCAGCAAAACATTGGCACCGAGTTGGCTTTATGGATGGGCTTGAACCTGGCACATTTGGATTTCTTGATCCTGACGTCGTGATTCGAGGCATCCATCTCATTCCGGCATTTGCATATGGTCGCACAGATGAATACTTACCCCCATCAATCACACGACAACCAAATGAAACTAATGAAGACTGGGCTTTTTTTGATGTTAATATGTAAGGACATTTTTATTGCTTGAACTACTAGTACTGAAATTCTACCAATATGTCCCACAGTTTTGTAGACCGTGACATGTTCATGCAGTATCGAGGCAGTGGTGTTGGGCACAAGGCAACAAGAGAGTGGGACTCTTTCCTCCAGAAAGAGCCCCACAGTTCGACAGACCACAAGAACGAGCCAGCACAGATTGAGGGCGAGGATGATGATGGCATAGAGACAAGCAAGAGCTGGGACACCGAAGAAGAGAGTGATGAGGAGCAAGAGTTGGAGGGAGAGAACAACGAGGAAGAGGCTGAGGTTATAGAAGATGAGGGAGCACAGGAGTGTTATGGCGAGGACGAGCTTGGAGATGAAGAAGTGTTGGATGTAGAGGGTTTTGCACCAATGTATAGTACTCGTTCACTGTGCCGAGGTATCTTTTCTGCCTTCCTGTATCTTTGTATCCAGCCTTTTCTCCACTTTTCTATCTCGGCTTAATACTGGCAATATAATTGATTACTATGAAAGAACAATAGATACATTACATGATATTTCACCCCTTACAGCTGTGAAGAGATGACCAGCCAGACACTATCCAGACACTCAATAGTGCTCAATGATCACTCCATCTCAATCACAACATCAACGTGGCACTACCTTATTTGGTTGCATCAATGCTGTGTACGACAGTAATTAACCGTCACGGCTTGTCATGTTTGGGTCCTTTTGCTGATGTTGGAGATGCAACTAATACAAAGGAGAGACAACATACCTCAGCGGGGACAGAATTGCTAAGGCTCTAGCTATGAACAGTGCAGCCTTAGTCTCCCTTGCTGACCTCATTCAGCATAATGATGACAGTCGATCATATCTTGGAAATATGATCTGCTCTAAAATAAGGGAGCTCCCTAATTGGTGTCAATAATAGCACACACAGCCTCCATTTGACCCCAGCAAGAGCTCCCTGTTAGAGGATGCAATCCATTCCATAGATAGTCTCTCCTAGGCATACCATTTAGGAGGAAGACAGTCGTTCCTCCTATCAATGGTCTGCTTCCAAATGCGCCCAAGTAACTGTTGTATGGGAATCTCTTCCCATCAAGCAGCCAAATAAATGCGGCATCCACGGCATGCCTTCCAAAAATGGTATTGTCACATGGAGCGGCAGCACTACCACAAGTTCGTTAATGTTGAACATTGAAATGAACATACAACAACCTGTTTTGCCTACAGGTTGTATATATATCCACCACCACTTAATGGTACAATACTCATGAATAGTAAATCTGCAAAACTTTTGCTTTAATCTTAGTCCCCAATATTTTTCTCCGCTTCATTTCCAACCAAGGTAGTATTCCAACAACTCACAACCAGCAGTATGAAGGCCATATACTTAATTTAATTATTGATACCTGGATGCCCCATGATACATGACTACCAACTAGAAGTAATTGGGAGCCTTATTGATGGCAGGAATGTGCTGTTTTGTGACCGCTACAGGAACAGGTAAACCAACACTTTCATTCGACTCATGCATATTATACAGGCTCTCTCTGAATATTTGATGCTACACTGGAAGGAAAATCAATCATATTGAGTGAAGTACTACAGTTCAAAGCCTGGTGCAAGGCAAAAATACAAAGGTAGATTGGCCATATTTACAGGACTGAGTGACATTGAGTTGGATTGCTTCGGCAGACACGGCAATATGGACACGATGTGTCTTTTTGTCCCACTGCGGGCATTGGCTTATTTAAGCCCAGCTTATATCCTGAAAACATTCAATTTTAGCTTTTTTCTACCATCAGAACCCAGAACTCCCATATTTTCAGGATATAAACTGGGCTTAAATAAGCCAATGCCCGCAGTGTCCCCACATGTGACTCACTTAGGGAGATTCCTGTACTACGGTTTTTGTCCTCACTTTGGATGCAGACTATTCCATAGACTTTGTTGATTACTAAGCTACACAGCCACTCAGATAGAAATGTAGGAACACATGTTCAATTGCCTTAGCTTTGTGCAAGCAGTTGAACTGCGAGTACATGCAGGAGGACATAAAAAGCACCCATTATAGACTGACCTATGAGGCTTTCTTTCAGCCAATAACAGTTGTGATAGGGATATTAGGGTCAGATAAGCCTGTTCTTGATTCCACCCTGAGCCAGCAGACTTATGAGTCTGCGTGGAGGGAATACTGACATGGGTGGCTAAATGACACATCAGACCAAGAGGAGGTTTGCAGATACTGGTGAGAGAATCGCCAATGAAGCCATAGTCAATGGATAGTACAAGTCCAGAAGGTCACTACAATTGTAAGTGACAATACTCTACTTTGTTTCTATTTATTCTATAGTGTCTTGACTTAGGGGGTTTGTTAGAGTACAGTATCCAGTAGTAGTTGCCACTATTGTACATGTAGCCACATTAGGTAGTGGCAAGAATCAAGTCTTCTGACCTCTATATTACTCTAATCAGTTCAGTGAAGTATTGACCTTCTACAGTAGCAAGCTAAGTCAATTGCAGTACTGGTTGCAATCACACCATCACCTTCCTTTCATTGAAGGATTGGACTCATCCATAGACCAGGTTTACAGACAGTGCTGCAAGTGCACATGATATCACAGTGATGTAGAGTGCGCTTGAGGTAGTACTCTATGGTATTGCAAATTATTGCAATTATAGATTGACAGAGTGATCTCAATGGTGGTGTGAAAACTTGCAATATGTAAAATCTGAGAACTTGTCAACAAACTATCACAATGTATATGTACTTCTCAATTTTTTTTTACCAATTTTTATCTCCTTATTTCAATTTAAAAATCTGGGCTTTTGGCTGGGCTCCACTAGTCTTGTCTGAAATAAGGGTGGCTCACAGGGGCCCCCCATTTAAACCAATTTTCCATGGTGATCTGTACATCCCGAGCCTTGGCATGGCATAAGATATGCTGTCCTTTGGCATATTATAGTATAACCACAGTGTATATAGCATGTTCAACCAAAAAATCAAGAGCAAATATTCAAAATTACATGTGTCTTAACATGTTACACCTGTCTAATTGTTCACCTACTGTAATAACAAGAAGAAACAGCTATCATTTAGAACAAAAAACATTAATTCAAGAAATAATCAAGGTATACCCACATTTTAGCACTGGAAAAAAGTTGCTTGTGGCTTTCAGCTCAATAGCTGGGTCCACACACTGGCTGGGATATCCCAGATACTTGTGGTACTAATAGGAGGTGACAAGGCAGCAATCTTTTATGGACTGCTGCTGATCCTGGAAGAATTGGCCCAAAAGCCTGTGGAAGGAGTGGGTTCCATACATGAGAACCCGGTGATCTTAGTTGTGACACTATTTAATACTTTAGAAAACACACAGGTAAAGTCACAAACAAATGTGCCAACTCAAAAGAATACTCACCAAAGGGTATAGGCTGCAGAGATGAGGGACCTAGAAATAAAGGCAGTCAGTGTGCTTTCAGACAGTATCTGAGTTGCTAAGCTGGAAGGCCACAATTTGCTGGATAAGATCTGGAGGTGTGAATGCTCCATATCCATCTGGAGTCCTGAAAAGTTAGTACTGCTATTCTACTATGAGACACAACATACCTTCAATACCTTGTCATGCTAGGCACAAACTGTGACCAAAGCTTGTATACTCTGGTGCACAAAAAGGGCAAGCAAAGAGGGGTAAGTGAAGGAGAGGAAAATCTCCCTGAGAGTAGGACCGAGTTTGTTATGGGTAAATAACAGGAGGACTCTTTGAGAAGTCTCCTTGATTTATTGGGGTATATATACTACTGTAGACCATTTGTACATGTGTATTATATAGTTGATAAAAAGTGGTGGCTGATGGCATCATAGGGCACAGCCCGTGTGACCAGCTCCACTGCGTGAGAGAGTTGTATCTTAAAATGAGGAGAAGCAGAGCAGCACAAGAAAGTGAAGATAAAAGTAGAGTTTGAATAATGTATGTGGAAAGCCTAGCAATTAAAAAGCAAAGGGCAAAATTCCAGCACTAAAGGTGAGGAAAGCAAACAAATATACAATGCTTAGAGGCACAATAGCAGGTAGCAGGAAGTGAGCTGGGAATAGAACCAAAATTGGTTTATTTTCTCAGCACTCACAAAAACCAGACTTACCCTGCAGGTTACTATCAATAGCATCTATCAGATGGTGAATATTCATTGAGTGATTGCCTCACTGCGTGGCATTCATTTCTGTGTAGTTTTTGTCAAGGCAGTGACAACACGTTGGACTCTGCTTCTGCTCTTGGTGGTATAGACCAAACTATAGCACCTCTCTGACCCAATCCCCTACAACAGTATTAGAATTTCTCTCTTTAAAGCTCTGAAGCACAAAATATTTGGCCCTCCTCTACCTCCATCCCTATTAAAAGAGGCTCTTAAACATGCTCAAAAAATGCCTTACAGGACTTCAGGTAAAGTAATGGGCCTTGAAGGTTGGTCCTTCTTATCACCGGCTACCTGCCCCTGTTTTCCAGGCAGAATGCATGTTTAAACTACTCCTCAATAATTTCCATCTCATCTGCTCACACTCATTCCTCTGCAATCCTTTTCCTCACTGGAAGCATCTCAGTGATGATAGAGCTACTTTATTTGCAGCAATAAAGCAACTGAATTGTTGCTATGGTCAGTGGGCTATCAAAAGCAAGATCAATCAAGTCACAAAGGCTATTACCACAAAAGAAAAGAATAAGAAAAGAGCAGTTGCTCTCAAAGGTAAGTTTTACCAGATTCACTTGATCATTGTACTGATTCTCACCTTTAAAAGTGGCACAAGCCCAACAACTTGCCAACAGAGAGAATACACAATCTACTCTATCTTCACAAGCCCAATAACTTGCTGAAAAAGAGGACATACAACCTATTCTACCATCAAATGGTTCCCACATGCACCTACACAAGATCCTATTGAGAACAAAGCTTAAGGGAAGTGTCTAGCCACTTGCTGAGAGCAATCAGAGACTGGAAACTAGAGTCCAATGTGAGTAACTAGAGAATAGGAAGCATTGGACTTTGCAGTACTGCTCAAAGTTTTGTAAACAAAGGTAAATAAAGGAGCTACAGAGGCAAAATAATAGAGAACACAACCAATACTAAATGATATAGGAATAGTGTGACAACACCAACAAGATACAGTCTTGGGGCACTGGAGCACAACCACAACAACAACTCAATGGAGGAAAGGAAGTGTACAACTTATTAAGAGAGGGAACTTGTTATACTAATGATGGTAGACACTAGAAGAGGACTTGCTGAGTCCCTCCCCATTTATTGCTCTAATACATATACTAAAATACATGAGGTACTGTACAGTTGTAAATAAAGTTCAAAGTCTGATGTCTAGTATGGGACTGGTCACATGATGAGTCTAGACACTGTTACAATAACACAATTTTTGGACCTTTAATTTTCATTCTCCTCTTTAACCTTTTTCTGTAGTTTTCACACACTGTGCCATTCGGCACTTTTCCCTTTTGTTCAAACTCCTCTTTCTTGCGCTACACTGCCTTTTCCTTTATTAGATACAACTCTCTCACGTAGTGGAGCTGGTCACACAGGCTGTGCCCCATGACAACATCAGCCACTGCTTCTATTAACTGTATAGTACACATATACAAACAAACCCTGTAGTAGTATATATACCCTAATAAATCAAGGAGACCCCTCAGCAAGTCCTCCTGTTGTTTACCCCAAACTAACTCGGTCCTACCTAAGGGGTAACCACTCCCACTCATTATTCTTTTGCTTGTCTGAGTTGTGCGCCAGAGTAAACTAACTCTTGGTTGTTACAGACACTGGTCATGTGGCTATAAAAAGTCCAAAATGTAAAGTAAAGTCAATCATCACGTGATTTGGAAAATAAAAAGTAAAAGTACAAAAGTGAAGCATAAGTAGGTGCTGGTATGTCAATACAGCAGTCTGTGTCCCTTCCCAAGCACACTTAGCTCCTTTGCACCCTTCCATTGTGTGTGCACAATATTGTCCCCAACTTTGGACCAGTCCCATTTATCGTTGCTTTCCCTTGTAGATGTAGTATCCTCACACACTTCTAGCAATGAAGTTTTTCAGTTTTTCATTTTGTAGAACCTCCATTCCAACTGCAAAGTCATTTTGTGTGGTAAAACCCAAGTCACTTCCTGGCCAATATTTATGTACTTCTCCTTCACTTAATTTACTTACCATGGCTCATAGCTTATTGTTATTCTCCTTCATGCCATGGATTTTTGCTTGTGGTTGCAATAACACAGCCCCTTCTATCTTCTCCTTCAACCAGATAAAGAAGACCACATGCATGGAAATCACCCATCAATAGTAAGTGTCGCTAAACTCCTTGCTCTTATGCTGAACCATTTCCTCAAACCAGAAATTGAGATGCTCTTGTAGCAAATAAAGTTCTATAAAATATGCACTTGTCATATATGGCAAATGCATGGGGACAGGGGGTAATACCAGAGGTGGACACTTGAGGGAGGATCTAGACAATGCATCAACATATTGCCAGGGTCCTCCCTCAAGTGGTGTGACTGTGATGGTGGTGGTGGAGGAGTGGTGGTGGTGATAAGGCAGCAACAATGCAAGGAGGTGGTGGTGGAGGTGGTGCAAGGAGGAAGGGGCGGCAGTGCAAGGAGGAGGTGGGGGGGGGGGGGAGGAGAGGTGGCAGTGGCAATGGTGTGAGGAGGAGGAGGTGGTGGTGGTGGTGGAAAGGCAGCAACGGTGGTGGTGCAATGTAGTGATGGTGGTGGAGAGGAGGTGGTGGCAGCGGTGGTGGTGGTGTTGAAGTTCATTGATTTGAACAGGTTTGAACTGATGTCAGACATTAAGAACCAGACTGAACTGAACCTGGACCTAGGGTTTGGTTCAGCGGTCCTTGGTTCAGAACTGTTTGCCTGAACTGAACTTTGGCATCCCTAGGTACAGGTACATGAGCTAACATGAGGCAAGATAAGCACAATTACATAAGACTATACTATTTCACTGAGTAGCTAGTGAATAAAGTTGGACGGAGCTGGTTTTGAGATAATGGGAGTGAGCTGGCAATTGTTCTAAACAATGATAATATATGTGATCATTATTAAAATGTAGTGGAACTTATTCTATAGAATGTTTATGTACGTTTCCCCTTTCTATCTTCCTATCTTCTAGCCAATTTGTGGCTCTGCTGGCTCTTATTTGGCAAGTGAGTCTTTCCTGCTTCCTGCTTACCTTTCCAGGTTACTTGCATGCACTTGCAGGCACACTACTATCCAGTGCTGGCAATGTGTCAACACTGGGTGTCTGTCTGGCTCTGCTGTCTGGTCACCTTGTCTTTGTCATTGTTACTTCCATTTTGTGTCAGTGACTATTTTTCTCTATTTTTATCTCTTTTCTTCTCTTTTGCGTTTTCCATTCCACCCCTCTTTGAATCAACACTATTTGCAGACACTATCACTTACTTCCACCCTCTTACATCTATGCTAGCTTGCCATAGATGACTTTATCCCTTGCCTTCATTTTGGGAAGTGGTTTGTCAGTCTCGTGCATAGCTGGACTTGCTGTTGGCAATATGGTTGCATCTGCAATAGTGAGCATGGTGGTGTTGGTGGCTGATGCTGCTGTATGGTGAGATGGGTTGGGTCTAGACATGGTGGCACAACTGTGTAATTATGTGGTGCTATCTGCTTGTGTTTGCACCTGCATTGCAATACACAGTCTTTTGTGCATTGGTGTGCACAAAGTTGTCTGCTAATGCCTTTGCTTTTGCTCTGGCAATGTATTCTAGCAAAATATCTGTGATATTGTTGACAAAGTCTGTCCAGGACATGTATTGAAGTGCTAATTGGACTTTTAGCACTTCTGGTATAGTATCTGTTAAGTCCTCTAGGAATCTGCACATTGCGTCTCCATATCTCAGCACAATTTTTGGTAACTTTTTAGCCCATATAATGTGGCTAAAGTTGCTTTCTCTTCTGTTTCTTATTAATTTGCCTATCTTATCCTCCTCTAGCCTCACTGCCCTCAGTTTTTCCTTCTGCTGTGTCTTGGTTAGTCTTACTGCTGCTGGTGGGGGCCATGCTGTATTATAGGTTATAAGGAATATATTTCCCAAGTCATTTTGTTTGATGTGTTTAGGTTTGAGAACCACTCATTTACTTTGCTACCTACTGTGCACCGCAACCTGAATCTACATAGTTTCTGATCTAACATCCATGCATCAGGGATTGATAGTTCAAATTGGTGGATTATTGTGGCTGGGTCTTCACCTTTTGATAGTCACCATAGAGTGATGGGGTCTGATCATTTTAGTCATTATTTGGGTTATCTGTGTTATCTGTGGTTGAGCTGCTTGTGTGGTGGATATTGGTTGTGGATTTTGGACTGTTGTGTTGATATGCTGTGAGGTGGTTGCTAGCGCTTGTTCTAATGTGTTCTGTCTGGTGAATGCCATATTATGTTGTTGCCATAGTTGGTTGGTTTTTTGTTTAAGTGGTGAAATTTGGGATAGCCCCATAGGCAAACTGCCTGTCTGGTGTGTGGGATGTTAGTGGTGGATTTCAATGGGTATACTGGTGTGGGATGTTGTTATGCCAGATTCTGATATGATGTGCTCATCAAAGACATTATCAATCTGAGTTTTACCAAGTTCCATTGATAAGCCAAGTTTGTGACTGTAAAAGTAAATAGAAAGCCATTTTTATCACCAGATGCTGCAGTCCAAGATGTTCATGGTATACATGTGTAGTATATTCTGGCGCAGTGGCCTTTGGGGTAGTGCATAATACAATTGTTGTTGGATATACTGTGGTCTTTGTGTCTCTGTATGCAGTACTGCTTGTTGATTCTGTGGTAGTGGGGCATAGTTTTGACTCTGGAGATAATGTGGTTGATACTGTTGGTACTGAGGTAGTGGCACTCTTTGCTATGGTGGTTTTTCTCCTTTCCAGGATAAGTTCTTCATTCTGTTGTTCCCATTTCCTGGCTGCTGCTTTCCACTCTAGGTACATAGTGGGGAGGTTTTTTTATTGCAAAATGTGATCACAAAGGATGCTATGAACAAATGGATGGCTTTCTTCTGCATCAGGAAGTAATCCTGCTTTCATGAATTTCAATTTGAGTTGACCAGAGTATGCATCAACCATCATATTTCTTTGTTCATAGCTGTGAAGCACAATCTCTATCTTCAACTTGAGGTGGGGGTCTAGGAATTTGATAGTTTTGTTGTTGAAGTTTGCCTTCCAAGTGTGGCAGGCATCATTGGCTTTGTTGGATGAGATGCGGGATAACACAAAGAGGATTTTAGAGGGAGTCGGTTTCAAAACTTTTGGGATATGTGAAGAAGTAATTAGCTAGTGCATCCTTGCAATCAACATAAATTTCCTTTTTGCCGATGAATTGAAATGAAGGGGAGGCAAGAACAGCTTTACTACTGTGGTTTGGTTCATCAGACATTTTTTCTGCTTGATTGGGTTTGAGTCTAAAGACTCTCAATCAAACCAGTTATTGGATGCGGGGTTTTCAGGCAATGGATCCTGAGGTGGGGGGGGGAGTCTTCCGGTCTTGCAGATTGATACAAGTTGTCTGGCTCTAGGGCTTTAGCTAAGATTGTAGGGGAGGTGCTTTGGGAGTGACAAGGGAGTGAGGTTCTTGGTAAGGCTCCAGTTTGAAAGAGTTAGAAATGCAAGTTTATTCAATCAAAGTCAGGATCATGAACAAAATTGTCCGTTAATCTACCTTCTGCCTGATTTTTCCAATATTTAAAACAGTTAGGAAGTCTACTCTCTTCCACGTCTACTAAAAACCTTTTGTCTTCTGAGTCTGCCTCTGTTTCTGTGTCTGCATCCATTCCCACTATATTCTCTAACAAACTTCCTGTCTCTGTCTCTATCCTTTCTGCATCAAGTATAAAGAGTTGCTCCAAAAGAGGTATGAGCAATACTTTTTCTCGTCAATCTTGGTATGAGGATGAATATTGCAAGTAGGTATAAGTTCATTGACTGCAATTAATGATAAACAATAAAGTGTTTGTGGTGGTCTGTCTGCTGGTTCACAACAAACAGGATAAGGATCTCTAATATCCAGTAGTAGTTTTCCACATAGTTTGAAAGATACTGGATGTTGTCTATCTCGGAGGTATAGTCTTTTTTGTGATGATGCTTTTCTTGTGCTGTTGCAATGAGCTAATTGAATCGAGCTAGACAAGCCACAACTCTTCAAATATGGTCTTTGGTAGTGTGTGTGACTATGATAACAGAAGTACTTTGTTGGAGACCAAAACATGGTCCAAATACGTCAAGGTCTCCAATGTGGGGGAGGTAGAGGGTACAGCAAAATCATATTAGGTAGTTGAGGTTGTTGCTAATGCAGAAGTATTCAATGGGTTGGTAATGAACCAGTGAGGCAGAATAGATATCATAGTAGTTGCTGGTAAAGAACAAATTTGGGATATTGTAAGTGGGTGCTTCGTTGGGCTGTTTCCTTAAGACAATGCCGCTGTCATACATGAAAAATGTTTCATGTATGGACATGGCATTCCATGACATATTGTACCCTGCAAAAAGTACCTCATCTTAAAGCACACATTCCAAAATACTATGTCACAAAGTTTTATATTTTGATGACTGCTACTTCTGGAGATATGAACCAAACAAGAATGCTTGTATCACACTTACTGTCAGCCACTGGCAGCCACACTGAAATCTGACCATATGGCTTGCACATGGTCAGTTTCTGAAAAAGGGAAAGTGAATTTCCCACGACATGATCTGCCTTTTTCTCAACAACCACTTCACCAATCACTCCGGTTTTGGGGGAGTAGGTAATACTTTCACGCCCCTATCAGTCTGGATACTTTTGGAGGGCTTCCAAATAAGGAATTTCTTCGAAATTCTTGTTTTACTGTGGAGAAGGCTGAATTGGCATTTGTTTCTTATAAATAGAACACTGTGCCTGACTGAGTCATATTTTACTCCACATTTTCAAATTGCTTTTCTATTCTTAGTCTCAAAAAGACCACTCTAGAATTATCTAGATTCCCAATAGATGATTCTGGCCTTTTGAATTTCCATTAGATATTTTGGTACTACCATTTGTAATTACCAACTAGGAAGGAGCCCCTATAGCCAAAAGGTATATAAGGAGGCCAACTTTCCACCCAATAAAAAAAAAGCTTTTACTTACAAGCAGTCCCCACATAAGTGGACAACCACTCAAAAGTCAACTAGCTTTCGCCTAGGAAGCATACAAGAGATATTGCCCACCCTAGGAAGCTTAGTCATCAAGTCACGTCTGTCACAGATAACAGTAGTCCAAGTGTGGTTACAGTCTGTGATTGTTTATTATTTGCCACAAGTAGCTCTAGTATTCTATAGTCTATCTCAAACTTATATCAGTCATCTATTGATCTGGTGTAAGCTCATCTGCAGTTAGTCACTGAAGCATAGTCAAGTATTGCTTCACCCTTTTATTGACCATCAGTGTATCATAGCTTGTCCTTTATCAAGTGTAGGACACTATTATCTTTATCCTATTAGCCTCTTAACAAGTGAGGACTATCACTTCTATTCACATACTACCACTTGTCCTTTATATCACCGAGGACATATCTACCATTGTCATATTAGTCTTCCAGAGCACGAGGACTATTGACAGACTCACAACAAAAGAGATAATTAACTTCCACCCCACGAACGACCTAGGTTATTACCCATTGTCTAGCTTAGGTTGTAAACTTCCAGTAACCCTAGGATAAAGAAGCTTTGGTAGCTATCCCATACCAAACACTTTATCAACAAGACACCACAAGGTAAAGGATGTACAAAACTGTAAGGGAAAAGACGGCCAAGAATGATAGGAAACAAAATGGGGCAAATACAATAGAATTCAAGGATAGAAGGAATGAAGTTTTGCAAGATTATATTCAAATTTCTTTTCTGTGCACTTGCTTCACCTTTCAGAAGCTTGACTCTCTGGGTGTTCTAATAACCCAGGCGTACTAGGACTTCAAAGTAATTGATCAACAAAACCTGCCTGTGATGCAGAAATATGAATATTAAAAGTTCTCTCCGTGCCTTATCTGAGACATTGGAGAACTTCCTTGAGGCTCCTAGTATTTCTCCTACAGATGGCGGAATGGTAAAAGATGGATTGGGTGAGGGCAATAGTGTTGTTTATGTCAAGGACAAATTCTTCAATGGGATGGAGAGAAGAAGACAACACAGATAAGTCTTGATACAACTAAATGATCTGCTTGACTGTATCTTCTGTGTCTGGGGTATGGAATTTGGTAGGGATGGGGAGAACAGGATAATGGAGATGCGTAAAGGGTGACAATGAGGGTTTAGACTGGTACAGAGGCAACAACAGTCTTTTAAGGTGTAGTGAGATAGACTTTTGAAGGGTGGTGCTTCAGGAAGAGGATTCAAAAGTAATGAGTTCAATATTCTGTCAGGCAACTAATACAAAGCTATATAACAAAACCAATATTGGGTCAGATTCTTGTTGATAAGACAATGAAGCTAAGTGGAGTTACTGCAGAGTATTGGTATAGGCGCAAATCCAAACTAATATTGAACTGAGGAAATAATACATCAAGTATATAATCATAAAGATCAGACTGAAAGAAGAAAGAAATAAGAAAGTGGTCTGATCAGATAACTAGCCAATAAGAAAAAAAAAAAGTGGTATGATCTATCATAATTACTAATTGTGCGGGAAAAGTCCTTGGTAAGGGATGTAAGATTGACTGGATCAGCAACCCCATGGGAAGGTGCTGAGTCACATTCTGTATCAGATTAATCTCTTACCAAAGTATCCCTGCACACAGCTCTCGGTCAGAGTTATGCCATTGAGATATCTTCTTGGGAATGGCAGAGTAGTCCCCTACATTATAAGTATAATAGAATACAAGTGTAAAAGGAAAAAAAGAGAAAGAAAGATAAGAGTAAAAGAATACTAGCCGTAACTTCTAATCCAATGGTGAGAGGAGTAATGGGGAATGGGTTGGATAACTATGACATGGCGGGAATGCAATAGAAAATTTGATTCCTTACACCAAGCTGCGGTTCCTCAGACAACTCTATTTTCTTGTTCTCTGTTGCAATAAATGCAGCTGGATTTTTCCTTTGCTGGACCATAATTAGGAGTAAAAAGGTAAACAATGGGTCTAATATTGCATAACTATTCCTTTTTAGAATGAGCCAAACCATCCCATTCTAGGCTGTAACATCATAATTACAGTAAGCCTATTCTTTAACTGCTGCAGATAATTTTGGCTATTCCAGAGCTGCCATGTATCTTTCCCTTTGTGCAACAGGGAAATGCAATCCCACAAAGACTAGCAGTGAAAAATAGATAAAGACCAAACAATTATATTTTTACCTTTTGATTTTTTGTTCAATCTTGGAGCACACTGGTGAAAGTTTTCCATTTGCATCTATAGTGTTAGACTGTAACAATTTGCTATTTTGGCAATTGCTCATAGTGCGAGGGGGTCATGCTTCCAATCAAGCAAGACATTGATACTTGGCTGAGGGTAAGCCAGGAAGAACAATGCTAAAGACCCAGGGGAAGGGTGACAGCTGGGTTGGTGTGCAAATCCATGCCAACACATATATTTCAAATGTCTCCACTGCTGGGACACCCTCATGAACTCCTGATATCTATTCTAGAGGGGGAAAATATCATTTGAGGTTGCTGGGAAGTCTAGAACTGAGGGACAAACTGGGACCTTGTGCAGGAATGCACTGTTTGTCAACTGCCATGTCTTGAATAGAAAGTCATTGCAGAAGTATAACATTCCTTGTTATTAATTAAGAAGTCATCAAGCAAAGAAAATGTGAATGCTGATTGAGGCTTCTTCTGACTTGACAGGTACAACCCATTGGACAAGAGCTGAATGTCCAAGCAAGCAGCATTGGGACAGCTACACCATCTTATGGGAAAATGATGCACACTGGATTTGTCTACCAGAAGCATCATTGTGTTGCCATTGATATCAGTGGAGCTAGTCCTTTTGGGCATGACACCCATCATGATTACTTCTTCATCTTCCCATAATTCTGCTTCTTCATCATCTGATGGGGCACCTGGAAAATTGTCCCAGGTACTGTCCCCCCAGGAATCACCCTCTGGCAAGTTGTCTCTGCTAGACTGTGGTTGTCATCATGTCCTAGGCATGGTTTCCTAGTGTGGCCCAGATGGATTACCAAGCTGGCTCTATAAAGCCAAGAAGGTTCAAAATGTGTGCCCTTCCATCGCTCAATTCTATGAAATGGTAACCTCTGGTGAGCATCCCTGCAGCACGACATACAATACTCTGCTTTCCCCAAACATTCTGTGCACCGCCAAGTTCCTTGTCTCACTAAACACATAATGATGGACATACTTACTCAATGGACTTGCCTTCCTTAGAGGTATAACCAATGGCTCAAGGACAGGATGGTCAATGTCTTGGATGGCGAACAAATCATGTTTATAAGATGAGGTGTTGATAAAGTTGATCAAAATATGTGGTTTTTCACACTTATTTGTTTTGTCCACATGCGTCTGCTTGTTTTGAACTCCTTCCAATCTACTCTTGGTAACGCTGGAGCCAAACATCAGGAGTGTGAGCTGGCAAGCACCATAGTAAAGTCAATGCTAGTTGGTTGTCTTGATAAAACTGTATTATGTACCTAAAGTAAATTCAATGCTCTACATAATTATCAGTGAGATAATTCTATAATTAAAATGTAGATATATCCACAGTTGGCTGCCTCAGTAAAGCTGAGGTAACTACAACTGTGATGCAATGCAACACACTGCAATTGTGGCTGTGCTATTAGTTTGAAGATGCTCATACAAGATATTTATGATAGAAGGCAGTGATCAATATGGAGCCTATGCTTCTAATTTACATTAGCTTCTATGACACCCAGGCCTCATGAGGCTAATTAAGTCGATGGACCTGGCACTAAATTTCCATATATAGAAGCAATATATCAAGCAATATTATACTGTTAAAATACCAAGGAGTTCCTTTTTGATATATAAGTATCTAATTTAAACTACCATAAGAGTTAATTAATGGAGAAAAAACCAGCCTTTTCTCTGTCAACTAATGTCTCAATCTACTCTACATTATTTCCATTGTCTCATATTTTTTCTCCTACCCTATAACAACTACAGCTACCGCAGTATCCAGGGTTGGATACAATTCAAAGCATAGGGCCACTTTTATCAAATATAGTTTTTGTTACGATAACACAATTTTCGGACCTTCCCTTTATATTCATTCTCCGCTCTAACCTTGTACTTTAGCTTTCACACATGGTGCCACGCGGCACTTCCCCTTTTGTCCAAACTCCTCCTTCTTGCGCCGTGTTGCCTTTCTTCTTATTTTAGACACAACTCTCTCACACAGTGTAGCTGGCCATGCGGGCTAAGCCCCATGACATCATCAGCCACTGTCTCTATCAACTGTATAGTACACATGTACAAACAACCCTGTAGTAGTATATATACCCGAATAGATCCAGGAGACTCCTCAGCGAGTCCTCCTGTTGTATACCAACAAACTCTCTGCAGCTCAAGGGGTAACCACTCCCTCATCATCTTCCTTATAGTGTGTTCTGTGTATGCCAGAGTAACTAACTCTTGGTTGTTACAGTTTTTTGAAATCGTTGGTTTGAGTATCTTATGTAGTAGAGCTGGAGCCAGTTGAGGCACACCATTCACTATGGTTTGTATAATGTATAAGACTCATTGTTGACATTTTGTTTATTCCATAAGATGTATCAGGCATCAGGCATCAGGCACAAGTATCTCATCTCAAAGTTATGTTATCATTATCCAAATCAAACTAGATATTTATTACTTACTGGAGAGGACAGAAATTGCACTGATATTCAGTCACACCACCACCACCACCATCATGCATAACTACAGTGACTCCAAAAACCCTTTCTATCTTGACTTTGGGTGTCATGCATGAAGTATACTATCAAACAGCTTGGGAATTGCACTTCGCTTTGGTGGGGTGATAAATTGTACACACTCTTGGCTATAAAATTGCCCCATAGGTCATATGATTTGGTTCACATGCTATGGAGATATGGCTGATTTAAAACAGAAACACCACACATGGAAAGGGTTTTTTCACTTTTGAACTAATGACTAGAATGTTAGTTAAAACATTGAATATTTGCCATTATGTGGTGGTACAAACAAAGATATATATACAAATAATATGTCTGAGCTTAAAAAGGTTCACACACTTCTGATTCTCACCCACCATTATGGTCAAATATCTCCCTTTTACTCAAATAACATAATTGGGATGTGTCAGAGATGGACAAGAGTAAGTGTGAAAATCAACAGACTAGTTGAGGTAAACTGGTTCAATGATGGGATTTCCTGAATTGTGGAGATGAAATGGCTGCTGGTAATTAAAGGAACATCCTATGTGCAAAGTGGCATATCTTCAATATAAGATAGAATAAGATGGTCCCAGATATGTTATAGGATAACATGGGATAGGACTATCCTACAGTGGTTATGGGATTTCCCAAATATAGAATGGGATAATCCCACAGTGGTTGTAGGATGTCCCATGTTCAAGCTAGGATGTCTCAAATGCAGAGAGGGTTGGTCTTACAGAGGTCAAGAGATATCCCAAAATACCCCCACTGACACAACTTTGAGGCATTATAATTTGCATTTCCCATATTATTTGTGGTTGGAAAATAATGTTGGAAATCATCTCCTCACACAATATGTTTATTCTTGCACCCATAAATTTCAGGCCTCCAAAGTACAAATATTCTCTGTGAAACTTTCAGACTTTTTAGGCAATTGGTCAGATAGCATCAGATTATCAATTAGTTACTTGATTATTGCCTATAATAGAACTGATGGCTGCATTTTATGCAACTGCCAAAAACATTGTAGGTCATCTGTATGAAATTATTCTCTTTGTGTAAGTACAACCCAAAGTACAACTGCAACACAGCATATAATCTTTGTCCCTTATAGGATTTGGCTAAAAATATTGTTTTCAGCAACTGTGTATACACATTGATAGTGCCTGATTTCCCAGTGGTTAAACATATTTTGTTCCCAGTACAATATGTTACTTGGTCTTATATTTGATAATTCAACCATGAAACTGATAGCTGATATATACTCTGTAAGGATAATGTTAAATGCTCAGTCTGTGTGTAAAAGACTGTATTGATATCTACCTGTAAAGATAATGTTAAATGCTATGGTAGATGTAAGTAAATGTTGTTGTGACTATAATGAAATAATATACCTCAGTCTGTGTGTAAAAGACTGAGGCTCTAGAATAGAAATCTACAAATTTTTGGTGTAATCATGGGAAAATTATGTATTAGGTAATGATAGAAAAGCAGACAGGATAGAATGAAGTCTGCAAACATAGGTAGAAAGAAAGATATAAGAAATGTGAATGTATAATACTAACAGAAACCATGCTGGCCCCTTATACTGAATCAGCAGAGACCATTCCTAGCTCAAAAAATACTGACTCTAGACTGATTGTGATACAATAGTACAGTTCATTTAGAGTGTTGACTCAGAACAGCCTAAGAGGTTCCTAGACAGTATTGGCATATTGCATACAGATGTAGTAGCTGAAAAAGTGTGAGATTAAGACTGATCTAGGACCATCACACCCCACACATGGGACATCCTGTAATCAATCTGATATCATTTTAACCGACATATGGGACTTCCTATAACCAATCTGAGACCATCCCATAACCAATCTAGCATTATCCCAACCCACATATGGGACATGCCATAACCAATCTGAGACCATATAGGACATTCTGTAACTAGTCTGGCTGTTACAATTGACATACCAGTACCTACTCACACTTTACTTTTCGTACTTTACTTTCACTTTTTCCAAGTCACATGACCAGTCATGTGACCATTTACTTTACTTTTCATTTTTGGACCTTTCCTTTGATTTTCATTCTCCGCTTTAACCTTGTACTGTAATTGTCACACTGTGCCATGTGACACTTCCCCTTTTAGTTCAAACTCCACCTTTCTCGCACGGCGCTGCCTTTATTCTTATTTTAGATACAAGTATCTCACACAGTGGAGCTGGTCACATGGGCTAGACCCCATGACATCAGCAGCCACTGCTTCTAGCAACTGTACAGTACATACGTACAAACAAACATGTATTCAGTATATATACCCCAATAGATCATGGGGAAGGACTCAGCGAGTCCTCCTGTTGTATACCAACTAACTCACTGCATTCTAAAAGGGTAGCCACTCCCTCATCATCTTTCTTTATAGTGTGTTCCTGTGTGCGCCAGAGTTTATCTTGGTTGTTACACTGGCATTGTCCCATAACCAATTTCACTGGGGGCAAACTCCTATGTTTTATTATAAAATATATGAAAACACTTGAAAAATAGAGACATTGTTTTTTTAGTATGTTTCTTTAAACAGCATTGGAGATTTTTGGTTTGATATTTTTTCAATGTTTTCATATGGGACTTCCTGTAACCAATCTGGGATCATCCCAGTGTCTACCTATACTGCACCAATTATTCCATCCGAGGATCAAGTCTGTCCCATCCTTGAGCAAATTATTGTGCATTTGAAGCATAATTCTCAGGACATATATATTAAGGTGAAAAAATCATTGTCTTGTTACATTCCTAATCCTGATCTGATTTTTTTGTCTAGCAATTCTATATTGAGCCATCAACTCTCCCTGAGTTTATGGACAAGCTCAAACAAACCAACTACAGCATTTTAAGGTATGTTTTTTTTGTGTATGTTTTTTGTGAGTGAGTAGACTGTATTTATGTCCCTACTTCCAGTTATATATATGACCATGTGAAAGGATCCTGCAACTGGGCATATCTATGCCTGTACATGAGGTTTTGGTTGAGAATCTCAGTGAAATTTTACAAGGGGAACTGTCAGGTCTTATCAGAGGGTCAGATGGGAAGTTCAGGTTAGGTTCAGATACATCTAAGTTCCTTCAAAAAGGTCAAATCACTACTGTATCCAAATTGACCCTCAGGTTTCAAAGTATCAACCCTAGCACTGAGTGGCAGGAATTGTTCATTGTTAAGGCCTCCCGCTCACAATCACTTGGGGACATCACCCAAAAGGTGAAAGGTACTGGGTGAAAGGTACTGGAAGGAGCTCCCCGACTTTGTCAGTATTCTAGTGGTCAAAATCTAATCCCACAAATATATGAAGCCTCAATATGGGTAAGCTGAACTCTTCAACATGCAGTACTGGT